AAATAAATAAATAAATAAATAACCAAAACGAGTTTTAAAGCGAATATCTGGACATATCACGACGTTTCGCGTCCAGGCAAGTAAAAACTCTTCGACTCCTTTAGGCTCGTTTCCAATTATCATGATTGATTATGCAATTTACAATTAAAATAAATTGTATTGTATTGTTTGTACATGGGCTCGATTAATAATACGTTTGTTTTCTCTCTCGAGGCTTTTTACAATTCGCGAACTGAACTGAGGCTTTCACTAAGGAAAATACAAATTTTTCATAGACACACAACGGACGACTTACGAAACGATGACGGCCCACACGCACGCACGCACGCACGCACGCACGCACTCAAACACTCAAGTACACGCCTATGTATATGTATATATATATATATATATATATATATAGCAAAAAACATAAAAATACGCACATTCAACAACAACAACAACAACAACAATAAATGATAATAGCATAATAATAGCTTATCCATAGAAGCATTCTGTCGATAATGATTTGTCAATCTGAATTATTTACTCTCTGTACGTGTAAGAATTTCGAGTTTGGCATTAACAATTCGTAATATTTGCCATCTGCAGCTTTAATATTATCATCGAATTTACTTGAAGTGGAAAATTTCGGTAAAATTTACCTGCCTATATTTACGAGATACACGCTGCCTTACACGCACGCACGCTAACACACGCGCGCACGTTCGGTCATTGTAATAACGAGATTTCGTTGGGATATAATTATTTATGGTTCATGCTTGCACGATGAATTGGAGCTTTCGAGTGATTAAGATTTCGAGATAATAAAAGATAAAAGTTCTATGATGAACTATGAGAAGATCTATGATGATGATGATGATGATGATGATGATGTGTGTGCGTGTGTTTGCGCGTATTATTGTAAATCCGTAGCGAGATATATCGTTTAAATAATGTTGTATGAATGTCGAATGGAGGCATTGTGTAAGAAATTTTGCGAAGCGAGGGAGAACAAATGCATTAGATAATTAATTAACTATATATATATATATATATATATATATATATAAAAGAGAGAATGGAGGAAAGAAATAGTGATGCGAGCAGGAAAGTAACTCATATAGTGCCATTGTGAAAGAAACTAATTAAACGAGGGCGGAAGTGCGTACTCCAAGTGCGTGAGAAGGCAAACGGGAAGAATCGTTAGGGAGTGCACGAAATTTTTTTTTACACTTTAGGCGGGACCGGGAGGAAATTTCAAGCACTCGCGACCTCGCTTTCTTCGAACGGGGCAATCAATACGTATAAGCACTTGGCACATGAAAGGAAAAACCCAAAAATTCATATACGCATATGTCGATGGGCATATGCATCACACCACACACCCAGTAATCGTCATAACAATTGTAATTTATGAAGAATGCAACCGCGGCGAGAAAAGGACAAAGCATAACGATTATTTACACGGCGATATATGGAATTATATAAGCGAGCGTATAATTTTATAGGCGACCATTTAGCGGTGAAGGGAGAGCAAAGGTCGACAATATACGCGTTTATTTGTTTTGTTCTCGGGTCCCCCACCCCCTAGCCGGTCGCCACGTGCGTTCCCAATGTATATAACTTTTTGCGCGCGCACACGCTCAAAGCATAGAGAATAAGCGAGAGAGAGAGAGAGAGAGAGAGAATGTGTGTGCATGCGTGTGTGTGTCTGTGTAAAGCAAGGGAGTTTATATATATATATATATATATATATATATATATATATATGTGTGTGTGTGTGTGTAAAGAGGCAAACATAGAGCATTAATCTGCTAATAGTCTGTTGGCGTCGAAAGGCGCGATATCCTTAGTGCGCCTCCTTGTACGGAGGATAAGGTCGTCGAGCTGCGGGAGTTTGAACACGAAATGTAGCTCGTAAAGTCGCACAAAGTCACAAAGGGCCGTCAATGTGAAGGGAGCGTAGTGCGAGAGCCGAGGTTTTGCGAATTCGCGTCTTGCGCGTAAGGGGGCGGGGGAATTGTGAGAAAACATTGGGATTTTAACGAGGTAACGATGGCGAGGCCGAAACTCCTTCTCCGTTCATTGTACGTCCATCTCATACCATACCTGGTGCTCGATATTACCGAATGATTGTTATTATAATGCCATTATCATTATCGCTAATTTTATCAAATAATATTATTACTTTAAGGATTATTATTAATTATTAATTATTAATTGTTATTATTATTACTTTATTATTATTATTATTATTATTACATAGTAATTATCATTATTGATCCGTATGATTGCGTTACTTTGTCATCAATATATACGTGTGTGTGCGCGAGCGCAATACACACACACACACATACAGTCACACAAAACACACATATGTACAATAACACGCACACACAATATCAATTTATAACAATAATTTATGATATATATATATATATGTGTGTGTGTGTGTGTGTGTAACGTTATAAAAGTCGGTCAGTAAGCGAGTGCGAGCTTTAGTCGTTTTCTTTTTGGTTTCGCGTCGAGCGACACGAGTTTGTTAACACGAGAACGAAAAGTAAGGTCGCTCTGCTTGTCTGCTACACATTCGCAATTACGGCTGATGAAAGAAGAAAGAGAAGAGGAAGTAGGCTGAGGCGTCCGTAGACAAAGGAATAAAGAAATTATTATCGCGGAAGCGTGCGCGCACGCACGCACGCACGCACATATATATATATATATATACTCTTTAACAAAAAAACATAAACACAGGGAGATCTCGTGCGCAAGTACGGCCACACGCACACGCACACACACACACACACGTGCATAACGGGAAATTGTACACAAGCCTATATTGTGGTTAATATTTCAGTGTATCAGCATAATGATATATGATTATTATGATGTTGCCCATAAAATACATTTTACTTGGTTTTTATATTTCGGTGTTTTTTTTATTCTTTACCCTAAAACCGACAACCCCATCTCAGCCGTTTATAGTCTGCGAAATGGGGGAGGTACGAAGAGATTCAAGCTAAGTCAAGGACGACTCTCCTTCCCGCTCCTTGTCAATGCCAAATCCCGACCAATCACTACCAGTGATCAAGCAGCACACCCGTTCCGCCAAATCCTCCATCCTCTTCCTCGCCTCATCGGCGGCTTATAATATCCAATCGTCTTGATCCCATTAGATTGTCCGGGCGTTGTCCTCCCCAATAATCATCCTCAACCTCCTCAGCCCGATAATGTAGATGGACAGGGATAAGGGTCAGCTCGGGGATAAATAAATAAATCGAACCTCCATCCTTGTATTCCGTCAAATTTATATAATTTTTATTACACACAACTTGTTGCATACAAAATTGCAGTGCTTTTTACATAGGTTCGTCCGAGAAAAAAAAAAAAAAAAAAAAAAAAAAAAAAAAAAATAAAAATAAATAAAAAAAAAAAAAATTATAATAATAATAAACAGTAAGCCGCGATAATTTATAAAATCTCTGTAGTAGACCGTATAATTTGCAGATGTGATGAACTGCTGTCAAAAAAGGAAAAAACGGTTAGCTTATCGCTTTTAATCGGAACCGATGTTAAATAATGCTGAGGCAGGGGGTGGGACGGGGCGGTGTTTGGTCTAGTCCGAATCAAGAGGGATAAAAATGCCTTTTATCGTAGTGACAAACATTGTTTTTTATTTAAATTGTCGCGAGGTTATTGTTCGCTGGCGCACGCGACCACAACGAATCATACGCGAGATATTAATTAACTAATAATCTATAAATAGAGCATACGGTCAATATTATCTATCTCTCATTTATATTCGTTATTTCGTTATAAATCATTATATTATAATATCGTATATTCGTATATTCTTTCTAATATTCATCATGATCGTTAGAAAATATAGACTCGAGTACAGTAAAAATCCCATTTCTTTGTGCCTTTATTTATTATTATTATTATGGCATTTCCTGTACATTGTAAGGCGAATGGTAAAGTAAATGCACATTTTCATCGCACCTTCTCCATTGTACTTATTAATAAACTCCCTCCTCCTCATCCTCCTCCACCTCCCTCTCCCTATCGTCTTAATGATTTATTTATTATTAGTTAAATACGATTCTGCCAATCGTCAAAATATAACTTAAACGATTAATTTAGTTTATCGAGACTCTCAAGTACATAAGCGTTATTTGAATTAAAAATAAAAACTGAAACAAATATAAAGGCAATGGAGACGTTAATTAGCTTATTATTATGAAAATTCGATGGTATAAATTTTTAACTTACAGATTGTTAATTTTTGTCGCGTTAGGACACAGATCCAAGGTACATACTTAATTAATATAATACCCTTATTTGTAAATTCTTTTACATGTATTATTATATATATATATATTATATTATATGAGACAAAAACCGAAGGAAAAAGCTTTCTTTCGGAAGCTCGTCCTCGCGCACGCACACGAACTCTATCACCCACACCCTCTCATTCATTCGCTCACTCCCACACTCTCTCTCTCTCTCTCTCTCTCTCTCTCTCTCTCTCAACATCCTCCTATATTTATCTCTATTCTAATTCTAATTCTATCTTTCACTTTTGCGCTGCATCGAATAAAAGAAGGTTTCGGGACATGATCAAGTTTAACGATTAATCTCTCTCTTTAATTACAAATTCAATTTTCTTCTGACAAAGTATGAAAACATTTATTATTATTATTATTATTTTATTATTATTAGTATTTTTTTTTGTTTTTGTTGTATCATTTCGCCCTTAAATTGCATCTATTTTATAATAAATTTTCCTTCCTTCTCTTCTTCCTCCTAGTATTTTATTATAGACTTCGGTTAATTAAGTTCTTTCGTGTCGTATTTTTAATCGAATTCACGCAGCATAAAATATCTTTACTTTTGCGTAAGCTTATTAGGAAAAAATTTTTTTTCTGTAAATGTTACTATTACTATTACTATTATTATTATCATTATTATTTCCTCTTCATTTCTCCCCCCCCCTCACTCTCTCTCTCTCTTTCCCCTTACACTTTAGATCTCATAAGGCGGCAGCGCTCATCACCCTTTGGATCGCCCTGGAACAAAAATTAATCATCAGATTTATGTAGATAATCGGTGTGTGTGTGTGTGTGTGTGTGTGTGTGCGCGCGCGTTTCTTTGTTTGTGTTGAAAATCATTGCCGTGTCATTGTAACGATGCATGGCTGCCAATTTTAACGAAGTTCGTGACTAATGTTACGTCACTCGGTTAGAGTGTTAGTAAGGAGGCGCGCGCGAAGACTAAGGAGATAACTAAAACTTCCCCATGCCGATAATGAAGGCTAATTGATAAATCGAATGAATATTGAATGAAAATCCAATAGGACGCCGCCGCCAACCCATACAAAAAAAGAAAATACATAATGCGATGTTTCACCGTGATGGACTGATGTCGACGATTCATCAATATTATAAATATTGCGGGAAAATGGTGAGAAGAATAAACGAATTTTTCTCTTACGGCAATCGAAAGCTTTCAAGCACATCGCGTCACTATCACGTGAAATTTCACCATTTCCTTTAGACTTTAGCGACATATAGTATTCTCATATTTTTCTTTTTCCCTCCTAATTGCAGCATAATCGCGTCCCTCGACAATACGACGAGTACTTGGATTAATTTAAAAACACTAATTACTTTTAAACGACTTTTTTGAGGCCATTGCAATTGGACGTTACTTGGATTAGTAATAACAACAACGACAACAACAATCATAATCATAATACTAATAATAATATCGCTAGATTTAACTTACTTGCTGATGATGAAGCTCCTCGGGCAATCTGAACAAATTTTCTCTATGACGAGAAACGGAGGTGGATAATTGCTGCTTTTTCCGCTCGGACGTTGCCATTTCCTTGATTAACAGACAGAATGATGTATGTGTATGCGCGTGTGCGTGAGAGAGAGTGAGGGGGGGAGAAGAGAGAGAAGAGAGAAGAGAGAGAGAGAGAGTGTGCATAGGTGTTGGCTCCGATAAAGGAAAAATCGCGAAATGTCGGAAAGCATTTACCAAATTCACCAAGGTTTAATAAATAAATTGCATCTATACGTACTTCTCCGTCATTGTTAATAAGAGACGTGGTCATGTTGTCGGCAGTAAACCATTTTTGGCTCTTCATCACGATATTCGAGGGTGGCTCGTGGGTCGCGCCTATGTCAGCCGACCACACGCACACCGTCGCCCCGGAATCGAGCTTCGCAGTCCTGTGGAACTTGAAGACCGTCTCCAGAGTACCCGCCTTGCGTATCAGCTGCCAGCCGCTCAACGTCACCTCCTGCACGCACACGCACACCCGACAATTAAATCCCTCGTTTTTAAATTTCTTTAAAATAATTGCATGGATTATATCATTTGTAATGCGTAAGCTTCAAACGCGACCGTTATCGTTCGAAATAATATTCGAGTGGACGAATGAAGATTAAGAAGATGTGGAAAAAGTGGTAAAGGGCCAAAATGTTTATGGAAATCGTATCGAGCGATCACTAACTTTATTGCCCTTGTTGAGGAGCTTAACGAAACGGCCCTCGGGCTCAGCCTCGCTTATCTCGACGTCTCCCTTCGCCGAGCCCGTAACGCTGTACTCGCTGCTGCTGCGCTCTTCGGACTCCTCGAGGAGGGTTCGCTTCCTTTTGCCGCCCCTGATCGGCGTCTGTCGGGATGGGGTGGTGCGGCTGCCTGATACGGAGACACTCGGCGACTGAATCGGAGTGATGTTCAACCTGTGTCCGATAAATATTCGTAAATGTACAATAAGCCCCACACCCCTCTCACACTCACACTCACACTCACACTCACACTCACACTCACTCTCTCTCTCTCTCTCGTTCTCATTTCTTACTTTCTAGAGAGCCGTTTGGGCGCGAGCGCTGCAACTCGACAGCGTTCGGACCGACGAACTCTCGG